AAAACATGCATACTTGACCGGAAATGAGTGTTGCCAACGAGCGAGAGTAGCAGAGAATTCGAGTACAAACTACTTGTTGATATCTCGCACATTCTAGAATTCTCTATTTGGGTAAACTTGCATTAATTATTAACTATATCAAACTCTAAAACAATCAACCAATGTTTTATATATACTTATGGATCATGCGGATATAGACAAATATAAACTAGTAGTACTAGTACACCAAGAGACAAACTAAAATTGACGAGTACTGTTGTACTTTTGGTTTGATATGATTTACAGTGAAATCCATTCTAACAAAACACTTTTCTAACCATCCCATACTGACTTGATAAATAAAAATTTGGTAAAATATAGTTTTTTAGTTTTGTATAATACAACGTTTTTGTAATTATCAATTCTTAAGTTGTATGAAAAAAATACAACCTTGATATACATGGTTGCAATTACATTTGTAATTCTCATAGCTATCTCTATAAAACATTATTTAATACAATATACAGAAATAATTACATAGGTAACAATTGAAAATTTTCCGATCACATATTCATAAGTTATGTCTTGCAAAAAAGTAAAAATGTTTAGTATAAATAGTAATTTAATTTCATTATCTCGGTAGTAGCAGCAGTATTTTACCCTTCGCCACTTAGAGTTGTAGGTGGTTCAAAAGGTTGAGTTGTTTGTTCATTAATGCGATGCATGAGTTGGGTTCAAAATATTGTGAGACGGTTCGGTGCATATCCAGTGTGGGCGTCAGAGCATTGAGAGGATGTTTCCCTAATATGAGAGGACCGGGCAGTATGCACCTATGAAATATTGGTTATCATGCCTACGACAAGTACTAGGAAGCCAAATGCGCAGAGGATAACTCATGAATAAATACTGGTGTCTCAATATGTCTCTAGAAACAGTGTTTGGAGATGTCGCTTTAAATCTGCACATGGTTTCAAAAATTTATGTATAGAATCATATTTTTGATTAGTGATATTTTTGCACTTATTACATCATTGTTTAAATAGAACAATTTTAAAATTTTCGAGAGAATAACTTTGTTATTGGTAGTAATGATTAATGAATGGAAGAAATTGTGAAATCCTTTATCAATATGTTTCCTCGAAAAATATGCTAAAAGATGGAAGAAAATCATCATATATAAGGAAACAAACTATGGGAAGCAAACCAAGTCCATTGGAGACCCACAAGAGCAACATAATAAAAAATGACGCTTGCTACAAATGTGCCCAATGGTACCAGCGGTCGTAACAGCCGCAAGTCACGAAGGGGCGACCAACAAAGGGATTTGGTAGTATTAGTGGTTTGTTAATATTTGGATGTGGTTTTCACCTACCAGTGTTTATTTTCTATATGGAGTTAGTGTTTATGCGTTTATGAAGCATTCCCATTTATGTTAATTACTCTTTGAATGTTTTTTCCTATGTGGTAGGACGCAACAATTAGGAGTCTTAAGGCATCCAAAAATGGAATAAGTATATTTTTCGTCCTTCAACTCTCTCAAAAGTATATAGATGGTCCCTCAACTCTAAAACCAGCAAAACTCGGTCCTTAAACTTTTCAAACCGGATAACTTTAGTCTTTTGTACCGCTTCCTTCGTTGATGACGTGGCATGGTTTTTGACTGACTCGGGTGGTTTTCATTGATGAAGTGGAGCCCGCGGGTCGCCAGGCACTGAAAGCCATGCTCGCTAGCACCGTCTACTGCCCCTGGCTGAGTCCCCTTTGAGCATGCCGAGCAGCCATGCCCTGCTGGTCGTAGCCGTTGTACGTACCTCCATTACTATCCCATGTGTACCCCCGTCCGTGCTTGCTGGTCGAGCTGCATTCCGCCGTACGATGGTCGCCGTGTCTACTGAAGACAGAGCCACCACTTGCCATGCCCGCTGCACATCGCCGCGCTCCGCTGCCACTGGGCTATGCCATGCCCTGCCGCGCCGCCTCGGTGTTGTCTGATACTGTACATGCGAGCAGCCGGCACGCACCGCGCTCCTGCATGAGCTTCTTAATGGCAAACGCCAGGCTAAGCGTGAGCATCACGCTGGGCATGCACACATCGCACCCGAGCGAGGAGCCGTGGTCTAGGCTGTACTGCTTGAGTGCTTATTCAACGTTGATCACATAGGAGGGAGGCGTGCAGGTCCTCCATGGCCAAGTCATGCTCCTCTAGCCGCGCACTCGCGACCTGTAGCACCGCCTCAAGGTGTCCACTGCTAGGGGAGGGGATGTACCCGAAAATTGCACTGGCCGCGTGCCTCTGCACTGCTGGTCACACGCACAGCTCCGCCATGGCCCTGCTGGCCTCGCCGCACCTCGTCTTCCCGGCCCAGCCACCCGTCAGCTCCTCCCAACGCTCCATGTCTCTCCAATCTTCTGCTCTAAGGGGGCAACAACAGGCGGAGGCCGACGAGCGCAGGCAGAAGGACCCCACAAGTGTGCACATCAACCATTCGACGAAATTCCTGTTGCATGGGAAAACAGAACAAAGATGAGAAGAGGGGAGAAGAGAGAGAAAAAATGATGAGGTGGCAATCAACTTGGAAGACCAGGGTCAAATCCATGCCACGTCATCAATGAAACCACCCGAAGCGGTACGAGGGACTAAAGTTATTCGTTTAAAAAATTGAGGGACTAAATTTTGCTGGGTTTGAAGTTGAGGAACCATTTCTATACTTTCGAGAAAGTTGAGGGACGAAAAATATACTTATCCGTCCAAAAATTGTTCTATTCATGAGTGTTGTTACTGAACCCCATACCTACCAAAAGTTATGGAATACTTGTTGAGGTATTTATATGCATTTCATTTGTTACCGAACCTCCAAGGACAGACCCAGATCTTCATCGCCGTTACTGCCGCCATCAAGCACCCCGCCCTCCCATGCGTCTACCTCAAGCCGCTCCACAATGCCTTGCCTTCCAACGCCCCTCCATCCCTTCGGCCTAGCTCGGCAACCGTTGCCGAGGAGAATGACATCACACCAACACTCGACCCCAGTCCCAGCCACCCACACCACTAGAGTACTGCCGATCGCGTCGTCGTGCCCTAACCGAGGCCCCCAACTCTCCCAGACCCAAGCACGTCTCTACCCTTGATGTCATGGAACTGCGACCGGTCGTTGCTCACCCCATCTTCCCTGACACGACACGACAATGATGCATCCAACTCTAACTTCCTCGACGCGACACATGCTCACGAGGACTCGACCGGTGTCATCCTTCTCGTTGCATTGTTGCATGTAGAAGGTCACATCGATGGAGCCGTGGACTTACCGTGGACTCATGGAAGGGGCAAGCTGCATAACCAATGCCAACCACTGAAGAATCAACCAATGCAGATTTTTCTTCACTATTGTGTATTTCGGGCATTTTGGGATTACCTCAGTCGGAGCTCGAAACAAAATGAGGTTAGCTTGTTTATTTATAGAAAAAAGGCTAGATATGTTGGAGCAATCGAGTGCCCCGAGAGTATTGGAGATTGTTGGACAAAAACATTGAGGAGCGAATGTGTTTGATAGTGCACACAGAAAGAATAGGCCCCTTATGGTTATTTCACCCTCGGGATTGCCCCGGCTATAAATAACCGGCCCCACCTACCGTGATGATCGGCGGCTTAGCTTATTTTTTTAGAAGATTGTTTGAGCACCCCTCTAAAAAATATTTGAGTGAATCCACAGATAGAAAACCCCAAAGCCCAAAACTTAGATAGTTGTCGAGCATCACAGAGATCTAAGTAGAAAGTTTGAACCTATTACTCTTGAAAGCTACTAACTCTCTAGACGGTTAGGTTTCTGTCTGAGTGACCAAGAGTAATTTTTTTCGAAGACAAAGTCTGTGAAGGTTATGGACATCGTGTGAAGTATCTACCGACACAAGTTGATGAACTTTGTCAAGGAGAGTAGGACGGTGATAGTTTTGCTCATGTATTCAATCACAAGTCCCTCTAACCATACGTAGCTCTTTTGCATAAGAGGGAATTGGTCAAACAAATAACTTCTCGCCATCGAGCACCACTGGTTTCATCTCGCCTCCATATTACCCTTCCGCAGTTTACTTTCAGTAATAGTATCTATTGTGAGTTTACTTTTTGTGCTCTAGCAGCTCTCTCTCGAAAGCTTACCTATCCGTTCATCATGTTTTTTTTCAGAGTTCTTTTCTTTCGTAGATCTGCATATGTTAAGTTTATTTTTTGTGTTATACCGAGAGATTTCAAATTTTGAAAGAAATTTTAAATCTACCATTCACTCCCCTCTGGTCGATATGCTCCGGTCCTACAAGATAGAGAAAGAACTCCCAAGAATGCCAAATAGAGACCGAGCTTCATGGAGGCCCTAATTTAAAAAGTTCAAATTTCAAATATTTCAGTTTCAAAAAATTTGTAAAAAAATACACATGTACCTAGAGATATAATGTACAAGTGTGTACATTTTCAGGTCAATACCTGAAAAAAAATCAGGTCAAAATCCGTTAAAACGAGAGCTACAATTTTTTTTGAATCTGAGGCTTGCTTTTAACATACGTAATGTTCGTCCTCAAAGTCCATGATTTTTTTAAGCTTGCAATTGAAGGTATTTCATTATAAAATTTTACATCCGTACACTTTGTTGTATACATGTGTATTTTCCTCAGAAAATTTTCAAACTAAACAGTTTGTCTTTTGATTTTTTTTTCAAAATTAAGGCCTCCATGGAGATTGGTATCCAAAATGCCCTACTCAAGATTTCCGAGAAACTTCCCAAAAAAAAATGTTCCCCATTTTTTCCAGTCTACCCAAAAAAATGTTCCCTATAAACCAGGCCGAAATTCCGAACGTAACTGGGCCATACTTTCCAGTTCACACATTGGTGACGCACATTTCTGGGCCCAAACACCCTGTGGCGCTAGCTGCTTTCTAATCCACACCTCACCGCCGTGGCCGCCTTATCCGCCGCGCGCGGTGCAGCTTCTCGTGGATTTCCCCCTAGCTAGCTAGAGCCACAGCTACAGCAATGGAAGCTCTCGCCTCGGCGCCGCGGGCTCTCTTCGCCCGCACCGCCTCTCCGACGACGGCGCTGGTCACGCCAGCAAGATGGACGCCGTCATCGAGCAGGCGTGTCAAGGCCGCCGCCGCCGCCGAGCCGGCCGGCGAGGCGAAGCCGGCTGCCGCAGCGGCGCCGCCGGCACCCAAGAAGATCCTCAAGAAGAAGCCCGTATACTCCAGTAAGACCGATGCTTCGAAATACGTACATTGTTTATTCATTCGGTTCGAGCTTACTCGTGCTTGCCGCTGCGCGTGTGTCCCTCTTACTTAACTGAACTTGAATTGCATATGTTTCCTCTGTGCAGTGAAGAAAGGGCAGATCGTGCGCGTCGAGAAAGAAAAGTATCTGAACAGCATCAATGTACGTGTGTATTGTATCATACGCGCTACACCGTAGTACATGGATGCACTCAAAATTTTAAACAAGTTTGTACTGTTTGTGATAAAATCTGACCTTTTTCTTTGAGCTTGACTGGGGCATGAATATTTCTGTAGTAGAATTTCAAACCCTGTTTTCCAGAAATTTCGTCTTGATTTTACCAGCAGTGAGTAGCTTCATTTGCTGGCTTTTAATGACCGTGCGTGGTTTGCTAATTTCAGTACCTATCAGTGGGGCACCCACCCTTCTACAAGGGGCTAGACTACATATATGAAGACCGCGGCGAGGCAATTAACTTCGCCGATCCTAGGTTATATAATATATCTACTGCTGGTTTCAGTTTACTAATCGCCAAATTATCAAGTGTAGGTTTTGGACATCAGAATCTTTGAAGAGACCGGAGAGTATGCTCTGGTAATTATACATTGCTGCTTTGATCCTTAATTAGTTCTCGTTCACCATTCTTAATTTGTTCATCAACTTTAAACGGATCTTAAACAATTGTCCATACATGTCTCGCTAAATTTTCTCGTGACTGAATTATGGATCTATCTTACGTAGATCGCGTGGGTGGGGATTCCAACCCCGCCGGCATGGCTCCCAACTTATATGCTCATCAAGGTATGGTTTAACTACACATCATTCGTTATACCACAATACTTCCTGGTTACCCATTGTTTTTGACATAGACATGGTTTACCATGCAACCATTTGAACATTTTCTCCTAAATATTTGCTTATTCAAAAATTTGAACATCTAATTAATGATGAATACCCCCCTCATGAAGAAGCTCTATATTTTCTTTGGGGTTTTGTTTGTGATTGGAGTATGTTTCCTTATGCAGTCAGACAAACTCGACTACGAGAGGATATGATTGTTGGATGAGCAGTTGCAAGGGAGAACGATGTTCTCTGAATAAATCAATGTTGCTATGTGGCCATGTTGTGACATTGCTCCATGGATGCAAAACGAAGTAGTTGTAAATTGAAGAAACAATAGTGAAATATATCCAAAGTTTTTTTATTTAAGCATTTTCTTTTCCACCTTTTCAACGTTTGAGGTTGTTAACAATCATACCATGGATTTGACATACTGCCACTCTTAAACTTAACATGCCTGAAATAAGATGCATTTAAATTAGGCTATGTCTAAAAGGTTTGAATTGACAAGGTTTTGAACAATTTATATGGTTTTGATTATTAGATCCAATAGTCCATTTAAATTGCAACCTTCCTAACATATATTTTCCCCCTTCCATTTAGGGCTTTTTCGGACATGTACTTCAACATTTTGGATGGGTCGAGAAATCTGTTCATTCTTCTGGCCTGTCTAGAAGAATACTAGATTATGCCCCACGCGTTGCTACGGGAACCTTAATAAAAACAAATGCATAAATAAATGCTGAAAAACTAAAACTATGCAAAAACAAATTTAAGATTGCTCTCAGTATATATTTTAAAAACAGTAAAGCATATAAAGCAGGTGATAAAATGTTATATAAAAAGAGAAAATGTTGGATTGAAGTCAACAACGTGCTTACATAAAATGTGTGTAAGATGACCTACATATATTTGCTCGAAGCCCACACAAAATTTAGTGAAACAAATTGACATGCATGGCTTGATGATGTGGATAGTTGCACGAAGAGGAAACATAGGTGTTGATTCTGAAACCGACGATCTTGGGTAGGGGGTCCTGAGCTGTGGATCTAGGAATAATGATAACTAAGTACGGAGGGGGACAATATTTACCCATGTTCGAGCCCTCTCAAAGAGGTAAAACCCTATGTCCTGTTTTGATTGTATTGATGTGAAGGGCCACAGAGTACAAGATGATCTACCTTGAGATTCATATGATTGCCTTCTAAACCCTAAGGCTAGTAATCACGCCTCTAAAGACTAAACCTCTCGGTTTATAAATGCACCAGGGGTACCTAGGTTATACACATGGTCGGTTGTCAACATGTCGACTTTTTTTTGCGAGGGAACATGCCGGCTCCAAAGTAATTCTTGAAGTACATGCCAATACTCTGAAGATCTCCATCTTAGTCATGCCGAGGTTCACAGGCTTCGGAGGTCCTTCCTTTAGTGATCGGCGGGCCATAAGCCCGACCCATGGATTGCGGGCCTTACAGGTTAATACCCCTAGTCCAGGACACCATCAGTAGCCCATGTACTGTTCTTTGAAGCGTAAGACCGCAACTCCATCCTCGGACTGGTTTCTTCGGCTTGGCAGGCGAGTTCCTTTGTCAATTCGTATTTGAACCCGAACTCTTCAACGACTGAATCTTATCGGGTTTCTTTTTATAGTTGACCCCGACAACCATGTGTTTTGAACCTTATCCTCACATGAGAGGTCTCAGAGTCCTTTCTACGACGGCAATTACCCATGTCTGAGGTTTTCGAAGTAACTTAGTCTCAAAGACTTGCCACGTGGGTACTACCAGTAAGAGGGTTCAAACCCTGACAGCTTTATCGAACCGCCACCACCTGTCGTGAGGCTACGCCAGTTATCATACATCGTTACTCGAGGCGACCTTTTTATTGGCATGTCTCGTCAATTTGGAGATCATGCCCGGGCTTTTAAGGGATATCATCAACAAGTTGATTTACCGATGCGTGTATAACAACACGATGCGTTGGGATACAGGCGTTTCGTATGGCGCGGCGGGGGACTCTTGGTCTTTTACTGACCTATAAAAACAAGGAGGTCAGTAAATCATTTCCCCCATGCTTTCATCCCTCGCTCCATTGCTCAAAGCCTACCAGAGGTCCAATGCCCTCAGATCCAGCCCCAAAACTTCTCTCCTTCCTTCCAAGCTTCTCCATTCATGATGGTCGATGCCGAGCTGAAGGGGAAGTGGACGCACTCCACCGTCGCGGTGGGTGCCATCGAGGAGCTTAGGTCCGCGGGGTACGTACACTAGTGCAGAACCGGGCAATAGCACCGGTTCGTAAGGCCCTTTAGTGCCGGTTTGGTAACCGGCGCTAAAATGTAGGCACTAAAGGCCCCCCCTTTAGTACCGGTTCAGCACGAACCGGTGCTAAAGGGCAACCACGTGGCACGAGCCAGCTTCGGGGGCAGGGAGCCCTTTAGTACCGGTTGGTGTCACCAACCGGTATTAAAATGTTGGGGGGGGTTTTGGTTTATGATTTCTTTTTCATTTAATTTTGTGTTTTCCATTTAATTCTTTTTCGTTTGCCGGTATTTTACGATACTACATATTGTACACGTTATGCTTATATATAAATAGAATTTCTAGTAGAACCGATCATAATATATATATATATATATATATATATATATATATATATATATATATATATATATATCATCGAATGTCTCACAACCACCATTAATTAATTCACACATATATACACACATGTATATATATACACACACACACACACACACACACAATTTCTCTTAATTGGTGCCTTCGGAGCCAGTGGCATTAGCCTAGCTAATTGGTGCCTTTGGAGCACGATAACAATTGGAAGTGGTTCATGGGGCGGTAGCGGGTAATAGTATTCTCCTTTGGGATCTATGACCTGGTCGAGCAAAAATCCCGCTATTTCCTCTTGAATTGCTTCTATGCGGTCCTGTGCTAGGAGCTTGTCCCGCACCTCTTTGAACTGTTAAGAAGGAGATCAATATGCATGTGTATTAGTTGTGTGACTAGATATCGATAATGGTGTAAAAATTGTGAATAGTGTTCTGACAATCGATATCATACCCACTCCTGTCTTTGAGATTCGCTCCTTTCGGACGCCATCATGCGAATGTTCTCGCAAACGTAGTATGCACATAGATCATTCCCCGGCGCCTGCTGTCGTGGTTCTAACTCTGACAGTGATGTAGGGGGGTGTGTATGGAGAGGCTAGATCTTAGCTATGGAGAAGTTGTAAGCACGCGAGGATTACGAGTTCAGGCCCTTCTCGAAGGAAGTAACAGTCCTACGTCTCGGTGCCCGGAGGCGGTCGATTGGATTATGCGTGTGTGGATAACAGGGGTGCGAACCCTTCTTACTGAGGAAGGGGGTGGCTTATATAGAGTTCGCCGGCCCCCTCCTGCCCTCAGTAATGCAGGGTTTAAGGTACATTTAAGGTTGGACGTTACTGATAACGCCCCTAATAAAGTGCTATAACGACCATAAAGACTACTTAATAGCCGACCGTTTGCCTGCGGAGTGACTTCAGGTCTTCTGGAAGTCGAGTGGTTGGCTTCGTGGTCGAGTGTCTTGAATCCGTCGAGTGGAATACCTTCAAGTAGATTGAAAGGTGACTTCTTCTAGGGACGTCCTTGGGTAGGGCTCTTTGGACAGGTCCGTGCCCCTACCCTAGGTACGTAGCTTCATCATTAGCCCCCGAATGGATCGAGGTTTGAGTGGGGAAAGAGTTGGAGAACTTTCCGACTGGCTTTTTGGGCTACGTGAGTGCCTCGTTTTGGGTCAATGGTCACGGATGACGTTGCCAACCTTTTTCAGTCGCCTTGATCCATTCCAGGCCTTTTGTCGAGTGAATTTCTTTACTTGTGACATACCGAGCGTCGGCGCAAGTGGGGTCTTCTGTTTTGACAAGTTGTTCTGCAGCCCGCGGATGTCGTGGGATTTCGGATTTTGGGAAGCGCCCGGGACGGGAGTGGCCGCAGTAATCGGAAGCGATAAAGCGGAAGCTCCTCGATCCCCGCGTCGCCTTTTTCGCCACGTACTGCGTGCATGTCTGCTGCGGGATTTGACTGGATAGTCTGGGCCTACCAGTCAGCCACTCGGGAGCGGCCCCTTATAAATCGCCGGCTCGGGGTTTCCAAGCAGTGCGCTCTCTTCTCCTCCTTTCTTCTTCCTTTCTCCCTTCGCAAGTCCTTCCGCCACCTCCGCTCTCGCCCTAGCGCCGCAGGCCCGTGCGAGACTTTGCCGGCGACAATGACGAAGGACAAGACCTCCGCTCTGGAGCGCGCGAAGAAGGCGGCGGCGCAGGGGAAAGGGAAAAGATCTGCTCGGGGCGGATCCTCCTCAAGGTCCGCTCTGCCCAAGGGCTGGATCCAGGGCGATTGGATGCCGTCGGTGATCCGGCAAGAGGATCTCGACGACATGGTCGAGGGGGGAGTCATTCCCCATGAAGCTGCGCGTCTCTCGGGGGGAGAGATCGAACCTCAACCCCGCGACGGTGAGTGCGTGCTCCTAGCCACCCACATCGACCGAGGGTTTTCTCTGCCGCCCCATCCTTTTTTCCGGAGCTTCTTGAACTTCTTCGGAGCGCAGCTCCACCACTTTACTCCCAACTCCATTGTATACCTCGCTGCTTTCATTTCCATGTGTGAGGCTTTCTTGGGTTGCCACCCCCATTGGGGACTTTTCAAGCACATCTTTACCCGCCGCTCTCAATCGGTCAAGAAGGCCAAGTCGAGTGATGAGAGGACGCAAGGCAGGGGCTTGGCGATCCAGACGAGGGGGAAGAGCTGTTTTCAATCTATCATTTTCCCGGAGTCGGTTCGTGGTTGGCAGGCGACTTGGTTCTATTGCCAGGACCAGGCGACCCCAGGACAGCCGACTGGTCTTCCGCCTTTCTCCCTCGACCGAGCCGAAAAACCTGCTTCTCTGAAAGTGACGCCGGAGGAAAGGGCCCAAGTCAAAGTGCTGTCCGGTCGAGTGGTTGAGCTTGTCCGTGAGGGTGTGACTGGTATGGACCTGCTGGAGGTCTTCCTCCAAAGGCGCATCCAACCGCTCCAGGCCCGTGACCACCCGATGTGGCTGTACTCGGGGCTCGACGACACCACTCGGATCCACCCGGAGGAGGTCACCGACGAGATGCTGGAGGGGTGGCTGTCGAGCATCACGGGGAACAAAGACAACCCCCGAGGAGCCAGGAGGGTAAT